CAGGCCCCCCCGCCCCAGCAGGCCTCAGCGGGAGCCCCTGCCTCAGGTGCACTGTCTCCTGCTAGTGCTTGTTCCATCCCAGCTCAAGGTGTCACAGGTCCTCTGGGGCAATGTGCATCCTGGCTCCTGCTCCAGCCAGAGCTGCTCACAGCTCCAACCACCCTGGCCTCATCCTGGAGTAGGACAGCAGATCATAGAATCATAGAATGGTTTGGGTTGGAAGGGACCTCAAAGATCATCCAGTCCCAACCCCCCTGCCAGCAGCAGGGACACCTTCCACTAGACCAGGTTGCTCAAAGCCTCGTCCAACCTGGCCGAGAACACTTCCAGGGAGGGGGCATCCAGAACCAAGATGCAAAGCCATCCTTCAAGCAAGATGGGGAGAGGGTCTGCCATCATCCTCCTCCCTCTTCCCACTGGGTTCAGCTCTGTCTCCAGCCTCTGGGGTGGGGTTGTCAGTGCTTGCAGGATAGATCACAGGACTGCAGTCACCCAGCAGCACCCCGGCCAGCCAGGTGATCACCCCAGGAGCTCCTCTTGTGAACCTCTCTCCCCCACCCCCAGCACCCTCTCCCTGCTTTCTCAGGGACACGTGGGAAGTGGTGGAGAAACCCTAACACGAGATTACATCATGGGGCTGATGTGTCAGAGCCGCCCTTTGCCCCCAGCTCTCACGGCACTGACATGTCCCACTTTGCCACCAGCCTCTCTGGCGAGGGGCAGCGAGGGGGGCAGCTGCTCCAGGCTGTGGGCCAGAGATGTGCCAAGAAGCTGCTCCTCAGTGAGGGAGCAGGCATGAGGTTGCAGGCATGGGTGCTGGCGTGGCTGTCCTAGGCACCATGGCTTTGGTGGTCTTGCCTGGCAGCCTCTGTCCACTTTAAAAGGGAGAAGAGTTGCTCAGTTTTATCTTGACTTGGGACAATGGCCAAATACAGATGGTTTTGGTGGAAGGGAAATGTGGCCCAACCAAGGAATTGTCCCTTCCCTGGTGGGAATCACAAGCCACCTGTATCCAGAGGTTCCCACACTGTGTCCTGGACCTGGTCGAGACAAGTCAGGGGTTCTATACCCGCCCCCAAGAAAGGCAGCCAAGGGGTAGAAAGCATGAGAGCTGTGGGGACCAGCATCATCACAGTCTTTGGGCACAGTGTGTTCTGGTGGTGGATGCCCAACCCCACTGCCTGGGTTTTATAACCAAGTCATTGGTTAGAAGAGGAACTTCACATAGCAGAGTGGGTCAGTTCTGTGCCATCTTGGGACTGTCTGTGCTGGGCACATCCACCACCTTGGGGAGGGCTGGAATTTGTGCTGGGCCCATCCACCACCTTGGGGAGGGCTGGAAGATGTGCTGGTTAGTGACAGGGCACACAGAGGTGCACACATACATGTGCACACACCACGGCTGGGAGTCTTTTATTGAATACCAGGTACCAGGGATGCTCGGAGGGGGAGACACTTGCCTCCTGCTGGGATCAATTTCCCCTTCCTCACCCCCCTCAACCTCATGCCCAGCTGAGGAGTGAGGCCCCGTGGACGACCCTCTCCCCCTGGCCTAGTTATCTCCCAGCATCTTTTCACCTTCTCTCTCCCTCAGCAGCTTGAGGTGGCCGCTGCTGGGACCTGTTACCTGAAGAGCACATGTTCATGTTGCAGCACTGAGGGCTGCACCATGGCCTTTGTCTGGACCAGCCTCAGGGCGAACTGGGACTGCCCTGAACCACCTGGGGAGTCGTGCTCTGCAGAGTCCTGCAGGTAGAAGGGTCTGGTGTCATCAGGAGCTGGTCTCAGAGGCTGTAGCTGATGGGCAGAGAGGAATTAATGGGCAAATCTGAAGGGGGAAAAGAGCCATGTGAGAGGTGAGGAAGGAGAGGACTTGCAGATTCATCATCACCCTTGATGCTTCAACCTCAGGATGAGCCACCTGGGGAGTCGTGCTCTGCAGAGTCCTGCAGGTAGAAGGGTCTGGTGTCATCAGGAGCTGGTCTCAGAGGCTGTAGCTGATGGGCAGAGAGGAATTAATGGGCAAATCTGAAGGGGGAAAAGAGCCATGTGAGAGGTGAGGAAGGAGAGGACTTGCAGATTCATCATCACCCTTGATGCTTCAACCTCAGGAGGAGAAAACACCTTGGCAGGCTTCCCATCTCTCAGCAGCTTGCCAGGTCTTGAACTGCCAGAGAGGGGCCAGGAGGAGGAGAGCCCTGCACAGCACAGATCCTGCCCTCCTGCCTCCTCAGCCAACCAGTCAGGTACAACCACAGGCATCGACAATCATGTCAGGGATGTCAGTCTTGACGATGTTGCTGTCCCGGTCATAGTAGAGCAGAGAGAGGGGGCGACGCTGTGTGGGCACACAACAGGAGTCCACGGCTGCATCCGCATTGTTGGCTTTGATGAGGTTGAGGACAGCTGTGTGGAAGGAGGCGGCGAGGCCAGGGATGCCAGCCATGTGCAGAGGGCAGAGCCCTGCACAGTAGTTCATGTGATATCCCTCTGGCTGGATGATCCAGTCCTCCCAGCCGATCTCCTTGAAGTCCACAAAGAATTCCTTGCGGCAGCACATCCGAGAGTCCCCACTGCAATTGATGCCACGTCGCTGGACCCGGTGGGGCATCCTGGCCCGGACCTGGACTGCCACAAATGGCCAGTGGGAATCACGGTGGTCAGCCAGGAGGGGAGACCCCCAGTCCTCCGTCACCTCCAGCTCCACAGTGAGTCTCTGGCTCCCTTGTCCAAAGAGGTTCTGGACAGCTTGGCCCACATCCAGTGTGACCCAGCCAGTCCTCTGCACCTCCAGCTGTGTCTCACTGGCCACGGTCATGTTCAGCCCCGTTGGATCTGACTGCAAGAGTCTGACAGTGACAGGGTACGTCCCAGGGCTGGGGACAGCCCAGAACAGGTAGAGGGTGGCTTGTAGGATCTCAGTGCTCCCAACTGGCTCCTGGGTGAAGCGGAAATGCAGGCGAACGCTGCGGGAGGTGGAGGATCCTGTGCACAGAACCAAGAGCAGAGTGGGAAGTGAAGGAGGGGGAGAACTCCCCCAGCCAGGGCCACTGAGTCGGAGCAAATGGGAGATGTATCCAAACTAGGGAGCAGGGCACAGGACACAGAGGTGACAAGGGGACCCCACTTCCCTGCACTGCTGCTGCGCCTCCTTTTTATGCTGCTCTAAAGCAGCAGCATCTGGGCCCGGCACTGAATGAAGAAACCCAGCTTGGTTCCACCTCCTCTGGCCTGATCTCCCCTTTGTCAGTGAAGCTGCTGGAGGATTTTGGGAGTAGGTTATCTGGCTGTGTAAACAAGCCTTGGATTTAAGGCAGTCACGTTGATTTGCACCTCCAGGATTACCTCTGCTTTCCATGGCTGGAATCATCACCTGACCTTGCACCAGCATGTTGCACCCTTGTCGCTGCTGAGGCTGCCAAGCTGCCTCTCCTCCTCGTGAAGGAAGAGCTGATGGGGACCGTGAGAGCAGCTCTGGGCTCCTTGGCACAGCTCTGCCCACGAGGACACAACCCCCCTCCTCTGTGGTCTGGCACAGCAGGGCCAGAGACTGGGCTCAGCCCTGTGGCTCACGCTGGCTCTTCTGCTTCCAGCAGACACTCCACCGAGCCAGGAGACAACTCCCCATTGTCCTCATGTATGGGAACACAATGTACTGCGGAGAAGCATTGTTCCCAAAGGTCTTAGAGGACATGACAAGCCCTGCAAACCATACAAAGGCTTCCAAGGGGAGTGCAGCGTGTGCCCCGCACACCTCACCAAGGTTTGAGCTGGGCAAAGGGAAGGTGCAGAAGGATGTTCTGCAGGATGGAGCAGCAATTCTGCTTCTTCCCAGAGAAGGCTGCATTTGCCTCTGAGAAGGAAGGGGTACAGGACCTTGTTTTTTCCAGTGATACTTGCCAGGACCCCCTGAGCACTTTTTTGGGGAGCTCTATCCTCCCAGGAACACACCTGATTCTGGAGGAAAATGTGGCAGCCCACATTCCTTTGGGTAGGAATCATAGAATCCCAGACTGGTTTGGGTTGGAAGGGACCATAAAGCTCATCCAGTCCCAACCCCCCTGCCAGCAGCAGGGACACCTTCCACTAGACCAGGTTGCTCAAAGCCTCATCCAACCTGGCCACAAACACTTCCAGGGAGGAGCAGCCACAACTTCTTCAGGCAACCTAGCAAGTGGAGACAGAGCTGAGCATGGAGAGCAGATGGGCTTTGGAGACCTAAGTCTACACACCGCAAGCTGATGGGGAATTTAGGCTTAAAATCATGTTTTGGCAAACGTGGCCATCTGACCCCTCCACCTCCAGCACAAGTGTGGAGGGTTCAAGAGAAATGGATGACAAATTCACATGATACAGCAGTCTACCTCTGCTCCTGCTCCCACCCCCTTGTCCCAAACATGTCCCATATGTGAATGAGAGGGTCCCCAGAGCCTCAATAGTGTCCCACCTGCCTGTGGCAAGGAGGAGCTGGTTGGGGTAAGTTTGGGATGTGGATACAGAGGTTCTGAATACCTGTGGATATCTGTGGATACAGAGGTTCTGAATACCTGGGGATATCTGTGGGTACAGAGGTTCTGATGCCTTTCAGCACCTCCACTGGCCCCGTGCGTGGCCTGGCATTGCTTGCCAGGAGCGTGATGCCCTTGTGCAGAGCTTTTGAAATACTTGTGCAGAGGAGGAAACCTCTCATTGACCTTCCCCCAGGCAAGATCTTCCTTCCCTCCGTGCCCCCTAACCTCAGGGCCCATCCCACCATGCCCATGGGGTGTGGAATCTGTACAGACCTGACTCGGCAAAGCTCAAGATCTCGTATTCCTGCACACGTATCCCAGAACGCAGGTGTGGGACGGTGCCGTCATGGGACATCCCTGGGGAGGTGGCCGTGTCCACGCGCTGCACACGCATCCTGCGGAGAGCCGTCAGCAGGGCCTCCCTGGACGTGGGCTGGGTGATGTTGGGCCTGTCTGGCAAGCGGAGCTTGGAGAGGATGCTCTGCTTTGCCAGCGTGATGAGGACGTCCCGCTGCATGGGGGGGGCC